TGCTCAACCAGTTGCCTTTTGCAATAACATTTCACGTCTTTGCAGACTCATCTCCGTTGTTTTGATTGTTGTTTTAAAGTCCAGTTGAGTTCCAAGACAGAAGTTAGCAGCATTTCTGCAGCAGGGTTAGGGAGGTTGATGCCATTCTGTATGAGTATCTGATTTTTGCTATTGCTGGGAGAACTTGAAAGGATATGAACATAGTTTGTTCAATGTGATAATTTTTCCATCACTACTGGATCACACTGAGATGCATCAGACTTTTGGTAGCAGTAACTGAGCAGTCATCAATAGACTCAAGTTAGATGAAAAAGAGACTGAAATTGGAGGAGACGTGATTCATTCCTATGAATCTCATAAGTTGTGTGCATCTGCTAACAACGTCGGTTAATTTTTTTCCATTACATTCTTCTAATGTCTTTTTAGCAGTCCCTGTGGAGCACCAACACGAATATTCTCTATTCTTCTCTTTTCCCCTCCCATGCAAAGTACACAGTGCCTCATTCCTGCAGACCTGTCGGGCAATATCCCCCTGTAACACACATTCCTCAGTTAAGAGGGTTTTTGGAAATGTCACTGAAAAGACCTTCTGTCATTTCCCCCCAGGCTTATTTGTGTTTGAATCCAGTGGCAATGAAAGCCCTGGAGAGCTTTGCCCAGGAGGCTGGGAGCAGATTGCTGGACTACAAGTCTTTTGCCTCCCTCTAGTGTTTGATGTCTTTATTTTCCTGTTAACTATTGGGACCGAGTTCTGCCATGACCTGACTGTGCCCAAGGTCCGCTGCACAGAGAAGATGAATAAGAGGAAAAAAAAAAAAACCTTGAAGATCTTTTAAACCAGATCCATGAGTAGTGTAAACTGACTTGGATTGCACCCTGCTGACGTATACCAGCTTGGGAGCCAGCCTATGGCATCTTAATTTTAAGCACATCCAAACTGTGTGGTTGCAGTTATACCTTTCTGCTTCTCTTTCTCTTTCAGGATCATTTCCCTGTTTAGGTCTTATTCTGCATCGATGCTAATGTTGCCTGTGTGAATCGGTAGAATGAGGTGGAATCTTTGCCCCAGAGATGAAGAGCAGCTGTGTAACTTGTCTTTTGGAATGTCCTAAAAGTCTTCACATAGTGCTCGGTGTTTACACGGGGAAACTTAGGATCTCTGAAGAGGAGGAATAGGTTGGCTAACAGTTCCTGTGTGATTCATTCAGACACCAGCTTCTGATACATCCCTTCAGTGATAAAAGTCCAAAATCCATTTCTTCTTTTATTTTTAAACAATGGTGATTTTGGAGAATATACTTAAGTGAAGGAGTGTAAGGATTAGTCCCACTGATGGGACTCAACATTTTGGCAACCCAGATTGTGTCTCTGTAGGTCACTGCTGTGATTCCAGCCTGGAGGGAATCTTCCCTGGCTACAGGGTATTGTCAGCTTAGTTTCTAATACATCCATGCTACTGGCCTCCTTGTAGGTACCATCGGACTTAGGAGTGGCATGGATAGCTGGCAGTAAATGATGGGAAGCTTGCAGTGATGCTAACCGCATCGATCCTGCTGTGTTGCTGAAACAAGTGGAAACAGAAGTCTTCATTTCCCAGAGCTGACTATCCAAACGCAAGTACTCATAGTCAAACCTGATTTCATTTGACATGAGTGGCAAAACTGCCAGCGACCGACTCTTGAGAAGAAATAATCTTCCAAGTAAAAGATAGTTTTGTTCTTTTACAAACACATTCTTGAAGGTGTATTAAAAATACCCATGAAATCTCAGAGTGGGTCCCAAGTCACGGCTTCGGCGTGTGTCAGAGGGCTTTGGTGTCCTTTTTGTCGTATCTCTTTAAACAAATGCTTATTTGCTAAGCACCCAGAGTGTGGTGAGCTTTTTGAATTCACTGAGACAAGCAACAACCATCACTATAATTCAAAGGATGGCTTTTTAAAAGGGCTTGCTTATTCTCTGTGTGGTAATGAAGAGCACTGCTATATAAATGAAGAAAAGGGTGAGCGGCTTTTATGTCTCAGGACACTATCTGCTCCCTGCAGGGGTCAGCAAGAGTATTTGCTCTATCACGGAGAGCACAGCACTAATAGCAAGAGATTTTATGCCTTATATTTATTTTCCACTGAAGTGTTAAGGCCTGAACTCTGCAAGAAGCAAGATATTAGCCCTGATGGACCAGCGGTTTGCTAAGGTGGTGCATTCTGCATTTCGGTGTCTGCTTTTTAATTGGATTAGCTTGTGGTTTGACTACAATATGAAAGCGGGTTATCTCCTCTCTTCTGTGCTTCATGGGGACACAGAAAGCTTTTTGTGAGTCATAGATCCAGTCTTATCATGCCTGTTCCAAGGTAGTCATCTGACAATTATACAACTCATTATATTTTCAGTTGTCAAAAGTAAAAGCAAAGCTAATAGAGCAAGAATCAGAGCTCTTTGCTGATTTAGCCTTTGTGTGGTTACCGTACCATCTGGGTCTCTGAGGAATTCAGGAGGTCATTAAGGACGAACTGAAGAGACCAAAGGGTTGGATGTTAATATTTTGCCTGAGTTTCATACTGCAAAAACTACACAAAGCTCAGTATCTCAGAAAACGCAGCTTGTACTAGTTACCTTACAGTCCCTCCAAAGGAAGCCTTCCCCGTTCTTGCTGAGATATTCTCGTCTGTGGTAGAAGTGACAGATTCATGACATACTTCCCATACCCAAGAGTGCTCTCAGGTGCTTGCAGGAACGTAGCATGTGTCTCTGCACACATGCAAGACAGAAAGTTGAATGCATAGTTTGACAGAAATCGTCAGTACCTTATGCCTTACTCTATCAGAATTCCAAAATTGAAACTCAGAAGTGGCTAACCATCAGTGGCTGCCGCTCTTGGAAAGTACTCTCTGAAGCGTACGAAGTTGGTCATTCCTGACTTAAACCAGTGCCAAATCATGAGATACGTGATGAAGACTAAGGCCATACCTTTACTTTGCTGTTTATCTTGTTTGATGATCGTACAGGCATTCAAGTTTAGCAGTGATGAGTGGTGTGAATGTCAGCGGATGAGCAAATCACGGGAGTTGGAGAACCCCAGGAATGGGATTTGGTAATTGCTTCACTACACCAGAAATGACAGCAAATAGTTGGTGATGTTTTGGTTTCTCAGTATTTTTAAATCTTGTCGAGTTGTGGATTAACTCTGCCACTGGTAGAGAGGTACCCAGATCTGGCTCTGCGCTGGAGAGTTTGGCTCTGGAAGTGGTATCGCAGCATTTGTGTGGTAGTGTGCGGCTGGGAACTAGGAATGATTAAACTTCCAGAAAATTGAAAATAATAAATAGCGGTAATGTTAATGGACCTTTTGGCAGCCTCTATCGCAATTGGCTCCTCTGTTTCACGCCAGTAGAAAAATCATTCCAGTGCCACCGGTAATTCAGTCAGTGAGCTGTGATTTACCCCTTCGCAGAAAGCAGCTGAGTATTCCGAGAAATGAATGTCCGCTTTCTTCGAAAGGGAAAAAGGGAGAATGTCATTAGCTTGGGATTCTCCTGAACAAGAATTTTTAATGAGCAGAAGATTCCTTGAGACCTAAGCACACTGTTCTGAAATCTTTATTTTCTGGCTGTCATTTTGGGGGATTTCTAGAGAGAAAGGTGAACTCTTCCCAAATATATCACCTCCAAAACATGGCGCTTTAAAGATCTTTCTCTGGACTGTGTGCTGCAAAACATACCTACCTCACCTGGCAGCACTGAACAGCGGCTCTTGCTGTTCTGTGAAATGCAGGTGGTGATGGGTCTAAAGCTTGCTCCGTGCCCAACAGGCTTCCATTGAAGCAGCTATTACAGGCAGGTTTTTTTCTGAACCACGAATGCATCTCTGCTCTTTTATTAGCATAAGCTGCGGAGAAGCCAGCTGCACTGTGGAAAATTTCATGATCTGCAGAGAATCCATGAGCTCATTGTTTGAACAGAACCCATCTCGATTCTCATGAAACACAAAGGGCACCGGTCTGCTGGGGGAGGGGAGTCCGAATTCTTGAGATAGCTAAAATACAGTGGTCTGCCTGCCGTTATAATGCTGCAATGTCAATTTTCTGCCCAGCTCTCATATAAATACCTTGGGGAGGATGTATCTTGCATCTTGTAAAGACCGCTGAGTTAGAATATAAAGCTTTACTAGCCGGGTATAGGTGTAGTAACGAACCTCCCTTTTCCTGCTGTCATGCGGATAAGGACACTGACCACCTTTGTACGATGCCGAGGGGTCCGTACCTGGAAAGTGTTTGCTAATTCCTAGAAGGAGGAAATAAGGAGAGCGCTGCGAGGGGACTAACCGTGTTTATATAACCCTTTGGGAAGGTTTACTGGCACGGCAAGTGTTTTTCTTAGGCCGAAGACTGGGATGCTTATACAAAAGAGAGCATCTGGTGCGTGTTGCACTCGGGTAAATCACCGCCAACGTCAAAAGTACCCGATGTGGTGTTTGTGCGCCTAAGCAGGTTGAACGTGGAAGATGATTTTTAGGGCGAGGAACGAGTGCTCAGCACCTTTGCTCTTGGGAGCTGATCCCTCGGAAAGGATGGGACCGGTGTGATGAGGTTGCCGAGGTCGGCCCTGCCGGCTCTCCCGGAGAGGCGCTCGGCAGCGGGGCCGTTCCTGCCCG